CCGGTCCCCGCAAGCCACGCTCGGATGCTCCGACTGACGGCGAGGGTGGAGCGTACGTAAGGCGTTTCAGTTCCTGGCAGATCAGGAAATATAGGTGCTTGGTTTTTATGTTCGGCAAATAAAAGTCGCAGTTCTGGAGTTGAAAAGGAGCCTTGGAAAAAAACATCCCCCCGCCAACACAGACGAGGCGTTCGCTCCCCAAGAGCAAAGTGGGCAACACCGAAGGGCAAAACCCCGCGGCAGCAAAGGGTGCTCTGCTCAAAAGGAAGGTTGCACCTCAAATGCAGGGTTTTAAGGCTGGATACAGAGGAGCTCGGATCCAGCTCGTCATCTACCCAGGAGCCACAAGAGCCCTGCGAAGCCACCTTGACCCGAGGGGCCGAGGAAGCAGAGGTGTTTTGAAAGTGTCCAATCCGAGAGTGCGTGGGTGTATTTATTCAACTCCGGAACTGTGCAATTACAACACAATTAATTTGTGATATATCTGTCGGTCCCATCAGAGCACCAGGAAACCCCGCGTAAGCCTAAAACACCTTGTGGAAACATTGGTCTTGTATATCAAGGGGGGGGGGAAAAAGCCATTAAAACATTTGTAAAAGTTGGCTGACTCGAGAGGAAGCTCCTGCTTCTCCGGGCTGTTCTCTGTGCTTTTACACCGATATTTCCTCCGTCCCACAGGTCTTTCTGTCCAGCTCACACCACTAGTGCTGCTGTACCTCAGAGCACGAAGCAGGGCTGAGCACATCCCTCCAAGGGATAAACTCCCTTGTGAAGCAGCCACAGCCCATGGAGCAGGAGCAAACACCTTCTCGGACCTCCAACCTGGCCAGCAGCATTGCAAGGATCCAGCAGAGCCAGAGGACGCAGCCTCCCGCAACACTCGAGAGGGTTTCCTGGTGCTTGGAGGAGCAAGAAAAGCCCTGCGGAGCCCCTGAGACAAGCCCTCAGCCTCGGGTGATGGAGGGATCGGTTCGATTCGGCAGGGTGGAGGCAGAGAGGGTGCCCGGAGAGCTGCCCTCGGAGATGGGAGAGAGGCAGGGACTTTCTACCGCACCTCTGGGATGAGCTGGAAGAGCGCGTTAGAGAGCAGCGTGCCGATGGAGAGCGCGATGAAAAACGTGAGGACCCGGCTGAAAAAGGCCTTCTCGGTACACGGTACGATGAAGACTCCGAGCAGGGAGGCCACGTTAATCATCGACACACTGAGAAAACCAAAGCCCCACACTGCGGAACGAGAAAAAACGAGGGCCAGACATTACCGAGGCTCTCGGCGTGGGGAGATGGGGAGAACCCGGAGACCCCGGATCCGGGCAGATGGAAAAGGCTGGCTCCGGATCCACACCCCCACGCTGGGGCTGGCCTCACGGCACCGGAGCAACTCTCCCTGTGCTCTGGATGCTTCAACTGTGACACAAACCATCATTGCTGTTGCAGGGTGGGTGGAAATAAAGCCACCAGGTTACTTGAAAGAGGTTTTCCCAAGCCAGCCCCAGCCTCACGGCGTGGGAGAAACCAGTGCTGCGCTCAGGGCATCTGATCCAAGACCTTGGGCATCATCAGGACCCGGATGCCTGGAAGCTCATTTAGCATCCGCTGGTGGCTGGAGGCCAGCGGGTCCCTAAATGTCCCAAGTCACCCCCTCCCACCCACAAGGGCTTGCAGCAAGGTCCCCCCATCATCCAGCTATCCCGCAGAGCCGTGCTGCAGGCACAGCCCTGACCTGTGGCATGTGCGATCGAGGGTAAAACCATGCTGCGAGCCCACGGCACAAACCACACCGAGGAAAACCCCATCAGGACTCCCAGCTGCCGTAGGCAAGCTGCCTCCTCTCGTCTCTGCCTATGTCCCGGAGCCGGGAACGGGAACCGGCTGGTCCCGCAGGTCCAGG